TACCACTTTTTGCATCATTTTTTTTTTTTTAATCGGAGCTGTGGAGCCATAAAGAAGCACAAAACTTAATTGTGGCTTGGGGGAGCCCACGTTATCAAGGTGTTACTAATGAAATGCTAGCTGTGAGAAGGTTAATGGAAGTTCTGCCGGTGAGTTAAACAGCCGTCTACCCTCAGGTTTTCCCCTGCCCTCCCTGTGTGGAAGTCGTAGGCCACTCTTTGATGATTGTAAGGACGATGTGGATTAATTTTCAGAGTTAAAAATAACCGTTTACAGCTGCTTGATTTAGGTCCAGGACAATCATGAGGTTCAGATCCACAAATGTTAACTCCTCGCGCCGGAGCTTTCCACGCCAGAAATTTGCGAGCTTAAACCAAGCAAACTGCTTTTCTTTCTGGTTAAGTTTCAGGTGAATCATTGTGCTGAATCTACAGCGCACGGGCTTGCATAAATCTCTTCTGGCTGGCAAAGGAAAGCCGCTCCCATCTCGGACAACGTTTTCCAAGGGAACTGTAAATGCTGACAGTCTCTTAAACCCTTTGGAAATGTCTGTTTTCAGAAGGGGTCAGAAACTAGAGTCCTGTAACCAAAAAGCGAGCCTGGGGGAGCAGGAAGTGTAGCTGGAGTTAGACGGATAGCTTAATTTTTTTTTTTCCACAGTTTTTACTTGGGACGAGCGAGATGGAGACCTGTACTGAGAAACAGTTGGGCTTTGCTGGTAACCGTTTGCATTCGGTGCGAAGCTTGCCTCCCGGTTCTTGCTTTATATGAGTGCAGAGACACTTTGTTAATACCTGCCTTTTCCAAAGTGGCAGGTACAAAGGGCGATTAAGCACTACCGCACTTCAGAGTGTGGTCTCAGAGCCGTAAGTTAGAAGATTTTGTTTGTTTTACTGGTGAAGCAAAGCTTAAGTGAGGATGATATCCATACCTGTGTTCTTTTCCCTTGAGTAGTTTGAGCCCTGGCTGGTTGCAGTGAAGTTTGATGGAAAGGTAAAAGTTTCAAAGGTGCGAAGATCCCGTACGTGAAAGCAGGTGCCACGGTGAAAGAGAATCTCATAGCTGCTCCGGTGAGGAGGAGGAGGAGGCAGCTGTGTATCCTCAGGCTGTGTTAGACCCGTGTGGGATCAGCAGAACAAAACCCCCAGGAGACTGGATTTCACAAGGAAAGAGGGCAGGTGGGACAGCGGGCCACCCGTGACGTGGTTTGCTTTAGACAGGGTGGAAGGGTTGCGAGGCCTGAGCTGCCCTGGTGCGTGTTACTGCGATGTGGTATTTGCACAGCACCTACGTGAGGACATGTGCTTTATGGCCCTATTTCTCCTGTTTGTATGGGGTTTTTTCTTCTAGGACACTTCTCTCTCCTTACCAGGGCATTTTATCCATTGCGTAAGAGTAAGTTAGCACAGCTGGAGGGTGTATTTTATGTGGATTTAATTCCCGAAGGACAGAGTAGAGAAGATCTCTCACACAAAGGCTCTTTTCTTCCGTATCTGTTCCTTTCCTTGAGCACTGTGTTGCAGTCAGACTCTGAGCAGATGTTTGTCAGAGAGAGACCATATTTACTACTGTTACTTGGTTTGCGTCCTAGGGCAGTTACCGAATGCGCACTGGGCTTGCAAGCAGCGGGCGCAAAAAAGGATGCAGGCAGTGTTTAACTCTTCATTACCTGCCCAGTGGCATTTTGGATTCTGTCTTCCTGAAGATAACTTTTCAAGTAAATGTTTAACTCGCCGCTTTACCTGGATCTCTACTTGAGAGCTCAGTTGGATCTGAGACTTAAGAAGGAAGTTGGTAATGTTTTAGAAATAATTTACAGAAATGAAATTATATTTTTTTAGCCAATAACTAATTTTTAAACTAATTTTAAGTTACAGATTTTAAAAATTACTTAGAAATTTCTGTTGGTTCAGGGTTTTTTTTTTTTTCCCTCCTAATTGGAGACATCTGTAGCTATCCCTACAAAAAGTCCTGCGATGTAGCCAACTGGAACAGGTTGCCCAGGGAGGTTGTGGATTCTCGTTCTCTGGAGATATTCAAGACCCGCCTGGACAAGGTCCTGTGCAGCCTGCTGTAGGTGACCCTGCTTCGGCAGAGAGGTTGGACTAGATGACCCCCAGAGGTCCCTTCCAACCCCTACCATTCTGTGATTAACAGGTCAAAGTTGGCTGGGTTTGGTACTTGCTGACATCTTTGGTTCTGAGGTTACGTGTTAACGATAAGCTTGAGATACCATCAGTAGTCAAAAATACTGTCAAATCCCTTATGGTAGAGTAGTGCGAGATGGCTTAGCCTGTAAGTGAATCGCCACTTTCATTTTCATTAGGGAATGTTGAAAGCTTTGTGCATGTTCCTGTTCGATTAGATTAGTTTTGTGCATTTTCACAGCAAAACTGCTTGTTCTGGGAGGTGCTGGGGGTGATTTCATCACGGGCACTGAACCTGAGGGTAGGTTTCATGCTTCCCAAGCAGCTCGCTTTGCAGTTGCTGTTTACACAGTACTTCATGTTGCACACTCTTAGTATATAAAAACCCACTTAGGATTCTTTTAAATACTTGTGAATTTTCCCTTTTATAAGTAAGGTTAAATAAAATTTTAAAATGAGCTCTGTTTCAAGCAGCTTTTTATCTTTACTTTTTGAGATACAGTGATTCTTTAACTTCTTGTTTGAAGTAGATCAATAAAAGATTGTTTTGTTCCTGTTTTACCCATATTTTGAATTTAGTTATGGTATTTCCCACTACTATTCTTCTAGCCTCCATTTACAAGCAGTTTACAAGCTGGATGTGGTCTTGCATCGTTTGCAACTCGCAGACGGTGGACTTTTCAAAAATAAATTAATTTCTCCTTCAGCTGGTAATGACCTTTACAGTTCACAACTTTAAATATAAATTAATACATTGGCAAAAAGAAGCATCTTCTGTATATGAATCTGGACCTTATTATTCCTTTAATAAAAATAAATGAGCTGTATGCCAGCAACTGAAGTAAACTCCCATCTGGAAGATTTTATTTTTTTATTGTAAATAAAAGTCTTGCCAGGGTGATAGCTTTCAAACTGATCTATAGAGCACTTCCTGGTTGTGAATGGAGATCTGACTGGTGACATAAGAGCTCTCTTCCTTATTTTCCCCTTGCCTGGATTTTAATATTTTAATGCGTACAGAGAAATGGCTATTGATAAACTATACGTACTGTAATCATGGTAAATGCATCAGCTTTTAGGAGCCCTGTGCATCTCCCAAGGTCTGGGTAATTGATTTCATGATAGAGTCTATTTCAGAGAAAGGCAGCGAGGGGACCACAGAGGTTGAGGGTTCCCACGTCTCACATGGGGAATCCATCTAGATTGCCCCCGCTCATTACACTGTAGCAGGAGAGGGTCAAAAATACGATGAAGAATTGGATTTTTGGTAGAGAATGTGAATGGGTACCCCCGTAAACTTCTTTACCTTTTGGAGGGGTGAAAAGCAAAATAAGTAGCATATTTAAAGACCTGTCCCATTACAG